GGAGTTCACCATGTGCTAAGTCTCCTCGTCTGCCAGCTAGGATTAACAATTGTACCGGACACACAGGGTTGTGAGAAGGAAGTGAAGTGGCCCAGTGCCAGGCATGCAGTCAGCCCTCAATAACTATTAGCTATTATTGTTACAGCTTGCTTTAAGAGGTACCCATAAAATGTCAGAATTCCATCTGTGGTGCATTATTATCTATGTTGTTTTGGGTGTACACCTCTAGGGTAGCTTAATTTTATTCTTACTTTTTTCTTCTTTTCATTTGCCTTTATGATTCTTAGCTTCCTATGAGGGAGCAGTATGCTCATAAATCATCCCTTACCTGTGGAGAGTATATGCTTAGATTCTGGAATGGGTTTAAGGCGATTAAGATGTCTCCAACGTATGTGTAAATCAGCAAATCTGCATAACGTTTCTGCAACTGATGAATAATTGTATCCTAAGAAGGGATAGCGTGGAGAGTAAACGTTATTTCCAATCGAAAGAGAGATCCTAATAAAAGGACAACCAATTTATGCTTATAAGGATATTTCCCTAAAAGACGAACATAGTCTGTTTACATCATACAGTTACACAGTTACCCTAGTGATTCTAAATCATTAAATGATTCCAATATCACCTTTAAAGAAGAGAAAATAGGAATATACTGAAGGAATTAGGCCTACTTAGAATTTGCTAAAACATTTTGAGGTATCCAATACAGTTTTTATTTGTATTATGAAAAAAACCTTCTCAACTAATCAATATGTTGTATTTAGAATTGTATACCAACATATAATAGGCTATTCCTATTGACAAAGCACAGGAAAAAAAAAGGTAACTTCATTTCTCAAAGCATTACATGTAAAATCTAGGTGGTGGTTCAGGCATTGAAACTGAAAGTCCCCAGAGTTAGATGTAGTATAAACAGACCCAGCGCAATTAACAGCTCTATTAAACATGCATATTTTGAATGGGGATTATCACAGTTTTCAAATGTAGAATTCAAGCTGTATTAACTCCACTATTTCCCTAAATGAAGCGCCTCTTTATGAAGAACAACTGTATTAACTTAAGAGTTAATTATAATTTTTTATTACACAGGAAACAATTTCAGCTGATAAAAATCCATCTTTTAGGCCTATGATATAAAAATCTTGACTGGAAAAATCCAAATTCTCTTTATCCCTCTAGGAACTGTAAATGAACATAAGATAGGACCATAGGTGGAGAGACTGAAGGCTCCCTGAGCTTCACCCCACGGCTACACAAACAATTACATTTTCAAATGACCTTAGGAGAACATGGTCTGCAAGAGAAAGGTCAGAGTGTTCACATGAAACAAATTTCATCCATGAGATTTGTCTACTGGATATTTGGTACCTCATCCAGAACCTCTAGATTGACCAAATCATCCTCAAGGCAGTATTTTTCAGCATCCTCCACACGGTAGGGTCTTCTGGTATGCATCCTCTCATGCCTACAAATGTATCAAGAGAATATTTCCATTAAGACAGCAAATAATGCAGCAGAAGGGGGGCAACAAGAATGGCTCCTTCACAATCTTCTCACACGACATGTTCAGAGACTTGAGAGACAGGGATAGGGAGAGCAAGTGTACTCCAGGCGCCTGTAGGAAATTATAGCCATTCCCTTAACATCCAGTATCTCAGTTTTCTTCATCTATAAAAGAATCACTTGTGATTGATCTACATAGCTCACAGGTGGCTGGGACAGCACATATAGGAGGGGATGCAAGAAATACAAGAAGATGGAAAAAATGTACCAAGTACTGTTCTTACATCCTTGTCAAAATTTGGAATCAATAATTTGCATAACTCCATACATTACTCGTAATACCATAAACTAAACAAAATCACCTGTAAAATGTCCTCCTGTGTATTCTAAATTTCCCAGCAGAGAAGCCACCACTGCTTGGTTCTTCCTTGTCACTTAAAAAAAGAAAACTCTTGGCTCGGTGCCTGTAGCTCAAGCGGCTAAGGCGCTAGCCACATACACCAGAGCCACATACACCACAGCCCAGGCCTGCCAAACAACAACGATAAGTACAACCAAAAACTAGCCAGGCATTGTGGTGGGCTCCTGAAGTTCCAGCTACTTGGGAGGCTGAGACAAGAGAATTGCTTAAGCCCAGGAGTTGGAGGTTGCTGTGAGCTATGATGCCATAGAACTCTACCCAGGGCCACAGCTTGAGGCTCCGTCTCAAAAAACAAAACAAAACAAACAAAAAAAGTCTTGCCCAGGCTAGAGTGCATTGCAACTCACTGCAGCTTCACAAACTCTTGGGCTCTAGTGATCCTCCTGCTTTAGCCTTGCAAGAAACTGAGACTACAGTCATCCACCACCACACCCAGCTAATCTATTCTTTTGTAGAGATGGGGTCTTGCTATATTGCTCAGGCTGATCTCTAGGCTCCTGACCTCACATAATTCTCCAATCTCAGCTTCCCAGAGTGCTGGGATTATAGGCATGAGCCAGCATGCCTGGCTCTCATCACTTTTTATGTCCACCATCATCACAGCTTACAAGGATGTCACCCATTAGTATTAGCCCACCCAGCCAGGTCCCAGAAGTTGGCTTTTGACTGAAAGTTCAGCTGTAAATACCATGCAGAAGTCATGGGATCTTGCTACATGCGTTTTACACGTAGCAAGATCCTTTGTAGGGACAAAGGAAGAAGCAAACATATAGTTCTGTATCCTGAATCTTAAGGTTATTACAATAGAAGTAGGCAAATAAAACAGCAACTTTTTTTCCTCTCTCTAGCCTATTAAATTAAATCTTACTTTCCAATCCCATCAACAATAGATTTGAAAAGGGATTTTTGAAGCATACTACATAGTCATCTCGAGTGCTAGAACCAGTTTTGCTGCTAATTCACATAAAGTTTGAAATAGAAGAAACTTAATTTCATTTAATAAAATCAAATTTATAACGTAAACATTTATTATTATTAAAGAGAACACTTTTTTCATCTGTGTTTTTACATATTGGTGAGCTCAAAGAGAAATCAATTGGTTTGTAACATCTATTTTTTTAAATTCAGAGCTGCTACCTACTTCTAGCTGGCCACTTGGCTACATAAAATAGCAAGAGAATGCACATTTCTGACAAAATCTCCTTCACATAAAACCTAAGAATCATTTTCCTTGAAGCTCATCGCAAAAATACTGCAAGGCATTTTTATGAAGTAATTAAATTCTCATATTAAATTCAGTTAGTTTATCTCCTAAATTCTTTAAATGGTATGAGATAAGCTAAGTCAGAGCTTATTCTACTTATCACTTGACAAAGAAAATCAGGATTTCAAAAATGATCCACAGATCTGGTTCTCGTTAAGACGAAATAAGCATTCTCGACTCTTATTCGCCACTGAGCGTAACTAAATACCCTGCACAGAATGCATGGGGCAGGTATCTCAGGACTCAGAAGTAAACAGAATCTGGCAGATGGGGGAAGGCAATCAGAATTCAAAATACCACTGAACCAATGATGAGTTTTCCAGGGCTTTTCTCCTCCCATAACTCCTGACCTGGCCTTACAGGCAGCCTGAACTACACACAGGGAGGTCAAGCTTCGTGTTGGGTGACGTTTTTTATAGCCATTTAAAAATGGAAACACTGACAAGACCTCACTTAGGGTCTCACAAAGAGATATACTCTAGTAGAAGTTGTGATTTTACAGGTGAACGTAACAGAATACATTATAAGTATCAAAAATGTTCTGAGCCCGCAACATAGCGTCTGTAGGCTCCACTGATCTAGCTGTCTGTCTCATAGATTTAGGTTCCCAGAATCAGGCAGGTGCTGTCTGTAAATCTGAGCTTGATTTTTATCAAAATCGTCCCCACTATAATTAACAACTTTTAAATGATTTTACGTGCTGTTATTTGCAATGTGTGACCTCCTCCCCTGCTTGCAATCGATCACATTCTTTAGAGTTATTTGTCCCCCAAATTGAGGTAAGCAATCTAGAAGTTAACATCCGTGCAAGGTAGTTGCATGCTGATAAAGACCTTTTTCCCAACCAGAAAAAAAAAAAAAATCTGCAACCTTTTCTTGGTCGTCCCCAACGAGTATTCTTCGGAAACTGCTGCCTGCTTTATTTTTCTCCTTTGGCTATGTCTAAGTTTAAAGGGTCCACTGGAGAGAATAAATATTATTTATTTCAATTTTAATCTCTTTTAAAAATATATCCTAGATTTTACATACATTTATGAAAACGTTATATTGCCTTATGTTTCTCTATTTTTTGAGATTAATGAAAATAAATTTTGTTTAAACATTTTTCAGTTTCATTGAGTCAAACAATGTATTGTCACCAGTAAATACACACTTAAAATTTCCTTCAAATTCACCTGCTCCATCTAGTGCCTTACTTGAGAACAGCATCTATTATTAATTTTTGCTGAAGAATTCCTTGTTTAACGTGAAAATGACAGAACTTCAACTAAAAGTTACTTGGATTAAGTATCAAAGCTTAGAAGAATGGAGAGAAAGATAAATGAACAAACAGCAAAAGCATTCTATGAAATCAAAAGTATATAGTGAAGTATTATCATTTTAATGGCTCAGAAGACATTTTCAAATTCCAGCAAGTCTATATTGCCTTTTGTTAGATTTGCTACTTGTCTTTGTGAGGCTCTAAGTATGCTGGCTGCCAAGTTTGGATTCTCAGATGAACGGAATTTAAAGGCTGGAACTTGGAGGGGAAGCTCTGACGTGAACTGGTTCTTGGAGTTTGAGTTTGGTGTGGTAGTTGATGGGAAAGATTTAGACCCTAGGGTTGGCCATAGTTTTTAGGGATCAGGTGAAGGGGAAACTGGTATCTGAATCCATGACCCAAGTAAGGTGAAAATGAAGGCAAGACTGAAACATCAAGTGCAAGGAAGTGGGCAGCGAGTAAGAAAAGGATGCGAGGCTGGTGCAGTGGCTCACGCCTTACCCAGCACTTTGGGAGGCCCAGGCAGGTGGATGGTCTGTGCTCAGGAAGTCAAGACCAGACTGAGCAAGAGTGAGAGCCCCATCTCTACTACAGTAGAAAAACTAGCCAGATGTTGTAGTAGGTGCCTGTCATCCCAGCTACTCAGGAGGCTGAGGCAAGAGGATCACTTGAGCCCAAAAGTATGAGGTTGCTGTGAGCTATAATGCCACACAGAACTCTACCCAGGGTGACAGAGTAAGACTCTGTCTCAAAAAAAAAAAAAAAAAGAGGAAGAAGAAGAAGAAAAGAAAAGAAAAGAAAGCAATTTGAAGAGTAGGTGAGAGGCTAGGAGGTCCCCTAAGACAACAGTGGGCACAGATGAGGTAGAGGGTGAGGATTTCTATGGAATGTCTTTGGCCCATCCAGTGAGTGGGAAAGGAGCTTTAGAGGGCACCAAACAGGTTCCGATACCAGAGGAATTGTTGTCATGAAAAAAATTCCTAAAGTGTTGCTGCTTTCACTGTAGTTTAATCTCTATGCCTACATCATGGTTAAAACCATTTTTGTGAATGCTCTTCAATATCCCATCACTGGGCCTGCCAAGTTCTTTATTTGGTGGCTAGTCCTATGAACGACTTGGCAAATATGTATTTTACCCAAAAGGGAAACCTTTTCCAGTCTACCAACTAATTACTCCTGTGTTAATGGAGACTTCCATGCAGGTAGGGACAAACGGGGGTGCAGGAACTTCACACTGGTGTGTCAGGATGTGTCTTCTCTTCACTCCCCAACTATGATGAAGAATAAAGCAATACCGAGACACGGTGGCTTACATCTGTAATCCTAGCACTCTGGGAGGCCGAGGTGGGTTGATTGCCTGAGCTCATGAGTTTGAGACCAGCCTGAGCAAGAGCGAGACTCCATCTCTAAAAATAGTCAGGCACTGTGGCAGGTGTCTATAGTCCCAGCTACTCAGGAGGCTGAGAATCCTTTGAACCCAAGAGTTTGAAGTTGCTGTGAGCTGTGAACACTACAGCACTCTATGGGGGGCAATAAAGACCCTGTCTCAAAAAAAAGAAAAGAACAAAGCAATAGAAGAAGTTGTTCTAAATCATAACTCAAGGGTGGACAGGAAACAAACTCTTTTAGCCTAATAATACAAGCAATATGCTAGTGAGAGGTTGATCTCTGCCCTGAGAAATGCCTGCTGGCCTCTTAGGCAGTCACCCTGTAGCAGGACCATTGTTAAGGTCTCCTCTGCCTCAGCAACTCCATACCTGGGATCAGGGCCCTCCCCTCTATCTTGGAGTGGAATTGGAAGGAGTGGAGAATGACTGACACTCCCTCCAGATTCCAAAAAATAAAAGAAAGTAAAATTTGTTGGAGGTGGAGGGAAAAAAGCAAATAGGGAATGAGAGAATAGGTCCAGGCTCCAAGATGGTGGTCCTCAAGAGTCTAAGACAAAGGCTTCTATGGCCGTGGACCTAATGCTATAGTCAATGGACTCCATATAATAAGGAGAACATTACTGAAAAC